GGCAGCGAGCATAGTAAAATTTATTGCACTTTTTCCGCTGCCGCGCAATCCTTTGTCATGGCCCAAAAAAAAAAATCGAAAATAAAAAACTGAAAAAACTGAAAAAAACCCACTGTGACCCAAGCAGCAGCAACACTTTCAACTCCAATCCGAGAAACAATGAAAACTCTTTCAAATGCAGCGGCAGCAGCGAAAACAAAACGAGAAACACATTAAGCTGAGACCTGGAAAAAGGAAAAAAAAAAATAAAAATAAAGAAAAAACATTTTTCACGAATTAACGTGGCCAGTGAAGCCGAACAGCAAAGGTTTTTTATAATTGATTTCCTGCGATTGCGGAGCAAACGAATCAAACGAGAAAGAAAAGCCTTCAGCAACAGCAGCAAAAACACTCAAAAAATATTCAGATGAGTATCCTAATAAGCTCACAAAATATTACAACATAGAGCAGAAATATTGTTTATTATTATTAGGCATTGCTTTTAATAAGCAAGACCACAAAACTGATTTGCTTCATTTATTCCTGTAATATAGAAAGATAATTTTCGATAACCCAATCCTGCATTTGCAAGTTGCCAGACGAATGCATTTCTTTCAGTGCAGCAACCTGAGCTGGTCCACTCCGAATCGGACTACCGTGCAAACCCATTTCGCAGTTAACAGCGCAACAAATAAAAATAAATTATACCAGAAAAAATAGCACAAAATATTGTTGGGGTAAAACACAACAACCAGCGAAATGTGTGTATGTACATACACACATTAGTGCATTTGTATGCAAGTCGTTGCATTGGCCAAAAGAGAAAACCCAGCAACAAAAGATGAAAATGTGGAGAAAGGGAGGTGGGCAGGTGGAAAGGTGAGCTAAGAAGGTTGCAAATCAGGCATCAAAGTGAAGTGCAGGGTACCAAGACGGCCAGACTTACGAGACTGCAGATGCACTTTGCACATAAGTCTGAAGTGTGTGTTGACCCAAAAGAAAGTAAAGTAAGGAAAGTAACTCACTTTCGAAAACGGTGACATTAATCGACATTAAACAATAATAATAATAATACTGAACTATAAGTATTAGTATATTGCATTGTTGCAACATGGAGATCTACAATAATGGTACATTTATATTAACTTTATTCTTTTTGTATCTCTATATACGCATTTATACAGGGTAAGCATGATCAGTGGTATTTATATGTTTTTCCAGATTTTGGTAAGGCAATACTATACAGGTGTGGCTGCAAGACAACAAGTCTAGGTGCTAATAGGTTTTCGAGTTTATACCATACCTGCCTTTGGAAAGATATCCCCCGAGCTCAGTGGGTCAGTTCTCTAACGATTTTATTACCACTGGTACCTGGCGATACCTTATACCCTATACCTTACCTTAGGGGATGACAGCACGCACTTGGTCTCACGATCCGGGGATGATGTTCGTGGATAGATAATGCCACGATGGCATGACCCATATCAAATCAAACTCCCTCGCAGACGCAGAGTACCGCAGTCGGAAAAAAGGTTAACTCGAGACCAAAAAAAACCAAAAACAAAAAGAGAAAAGAGGAAAAAATGGAGAGAAAGAAACGCTGAGCAGCGACACAACAATAACAAAGTGGATGGAAAAAAGTACGACCATCAACACGATCATCAACGAGAACCATAAATAAGACTTAAATGGCATGAAAAAGGCAAAGCAACAACAACAGCAACAACAACAACACTGACTGCAATCAAAACGCAGGCTATGGCCATTACAGCAACAACAAAGTTAACCACAGCAAACAACAGAAATGAAAAAGCAGCGAAAAAAATACAACAAGAATTATCAACAAAATAACAAAAAACACCACACGAAGTCAACGTTATATATCGCCTATAAAAGCAACAACAACCACGTCGAGCAGCCGCACCTTCGAGCCCCACACATACACACATACCCCACATATACTCGTACCTGCACAATCTCGGTTACCATACGCACACATACATACCTTACCATACGAACAACTCTGCCGCTTCCTCTTCCTCATGCTCCAACTTCAACTCCGACTGCGACTCCGAATTCGGAGGGGAGCGAGGAGCAAGGAGCGAGGAGCGAGGAGCCTGCAGCGCTTGGGGATCGAGCGACCCAAAAAGACGGAAGGCAACAAAAATGGGCCAACTCAGGGAACCGAAGCCTGCAATACCCTAGGAGAGCAGTGATATACTATCATAATAATATCGTTTTTCAGATCGTTTCTGTATATGCGCTGTAATATACTAATATACTAATATCATAATAATATCGTTTTTCAGATCGTTTCTGTATATGCGCTGTAATATACTAATATACTAATATCATAATAATATCGTTTTTCAGATCGTTTCTGTATATGCGCTGTAATATACTAATATACTAATATCATAATAATATCGTTTTTCAGATCGTTTCTGTATATGCGCTGTAATATACTAATATACTAATATCATAATAATATCGTTTTTCAGATCGTTTCTGTATATGCGCTGTAATAACTACGTAGATCATACAGCTATGTCCTCTATGTATCTCATCTTAAATTGGGATGACAATCCCAACTAAGATCCCAACTAATAACCATAATTAAACAATATAAGCAACACGATTAGAAGAACATGGTAACTAAGAAATAACCTCTGTCAATTAACATGATGAGCAAAATTCACATTAAATATGGCAAAAGGTAACCGCCTTAGCTTTTATCATGGTTTGGAAATCCAATTATGTTAGTGAATACCTAACTATATTATAATGGGCTTAAAATGGAGTACCGACATTGTGCATAACTTCACACTTGTTCGAACCAACCTCATAAAGGGTATCAGCAATCACATCCAGCGACGGACGCGTGTTGCCCCAGCGTATCTTTGACTCAATCTCGAGGCAGCCTGGCCGAACGGTCTTGGATCTTTGGGACCCCATTCGATCCGCAGTGTGCCGCCCCCTGTGCCCCTGCGCCCCCCGCGCCACCAGTCCCCAGCGGAGTGGTTCTGGGTTGGGCGATGGGGGGCGGAGATAATTCGAGGCGAGTGCTGAGGGCGGCAATGATGAACCCTCGCATCCAATTGAGGGGCGGACGGCAGTTTCGTTGCGGTTGGAGTGAATCGAAGGCGAGGAAATCCTTTGGCGTTCAGCGATCAGTTGCGAAAGTTAAAAGCACAACCTGAGCAATTAAAATACCTCGTTTAGAGCTACAATAAATGGATTAGATAAATTAAATTGGCGCCGGACAATTCTCTGAATATTTATATGTCTGCTAAACGGATTGGGACCACAAGCTATCTATATCCAAAAAAAATGGCTTTGCGGCTAAATGTGCTAATATATTCAAAAATATGTTAAATTCATAAATAACCGACAGTCTGAGAAACCAAATATGGCAAAACCAAACTAACACGGAATATGGGAGATTATAAAAAAAGACAAATTTGAAGAGACTGTGAATATCTAGCACCCTTTCGTTATATTTGTACCAAGATCAGCCTGGATGATGAATGCACTGCTATCGTAAGTAGGAAAGTTTCTATTTAATAATTAAGTTAATGAAATAAGTTGCGCATTGTGTTAGCTGCCTGTGGGACCCATTCTTTAGGGTATCAAAACCGGCCGGGGCTGGTAAACAATGCTTGTTTGTTAGCTTGACTGGAAGATTGTTTTGCAGACATAAATCTCAAGACCAACAGACAGTCCGAGTGAACAGATGGGGTCCAAAAAAAATCCATCTATAAAAAAAACCCGCAGGGCTAAAAGCGACCCAGACACAGGTCCACCAGTAAATTCACTTTACTTCCGTCGAGTGATTTCAAATTTGGTTTATAGCCAATACATTTTACTCGTAATTTATCAGCTGAAGTCAACAGCATTGCTCTACATAAACTATTCAACATTAGGGCAAGACTTAGGTAAATTAATTTGGTATCTATTTATTTTTTGGTGACACCCATAAGAAACATCTTACATTCAGTTTATTTGATTAACTTTTGCATAATTGTGTATACTATACCACACAGATAGGATCGCCGACCAAGTGTATATCAACTTCGACTAGAGTGGCTTGGCCCGAATTTGATTTTTGTCTGGTTTCTCCATCGCTTTTGGCAGTCACTTGAGTGAGGTTTGACTGTCTGAGAATCGGAGTGTCTGGTCGGCTTATGTGTTCATTTGTTTATCGCCGGCCAGAAGTTGAAAACCAGTTCGCCAGATGAAGTTCTATCGTAATTGCGTATAACTTTAAGTACAATACATTAAGGTCTAATTGACAGACAGACTGGCAGCCCAAAGTCGATTTTCCTCGGCCTTCCCTTCGCCTCCCAAATTAATCATCAGAATGCGATAGATGTGGTTCGTGTTGGTGGTGTTGCGATTTATTATATTATATAAGCATGCGGAATTACGTAAGCACTTGTCGATCATTTGCCTTATGGCATTAAGTAATTCTCTTGGATCTGCGATGCCTTGAGCCGTTTCACGTCCATGCGATTATAACTCCGACTGACTGAGTCATTCAATGTCGGGTAATTACAGCCCTATCACAGAATCGGTCGTATATATACATCTCCGATCTCTTCCTGAAGTGCTTTGTTTTCTCGTGCATGGAAAATTGATTAGGCCAAATGCAATTAAATATCCAAGCGTCTTAAATGTATGAGTTTGAGCAGAACAAAGGTAATGACTTGGTTGAAAAGGAGGATTTTACAATTCCTTATTAATGATTATTATATTATAATTATAATAATTTTTTATTACAATAATTATAATTATTATATTAATTAACAAAACGTACTACATTGTTTTCAAGTCAGTTCAAGTGTTTGGTGTATATGGGGTACTATTAAAATATATATCAAAACTCTGACAATTTTGGTGCTATCTGATCTCATTTTTAATGTCTCGCGGCACATTTCTCAAAGTGTATAAACAGATACCCTGCTCTTAAAGTTTGACAAGCGAATCAAATCATCATTTTAACCGGTAAACTAGTGCTCAAAGTAAACCGCAGCTTTTCAGTTCCGGAAAATGCCTTGCAAACGAGCTCTTATAGCATTGCTCTGTCTCACGATCATAGTTCTAATTACGAGCATCTGCCAATCTTTTCACACGAATTTTCGAGCAGTGGGCCGCAATGGAACGCTAAGATATGAGCCCACTGAACTGGATCTCGGTCAGATGCGATTTCTCGCCGGACTCTCTGACTCTGAAAATCTTCGCAGAACTGTGCAAAGGATTTCGATAAAGAGGGTAGTGGGCACTCCAGGACATTCGAAAGTGAGAAATTACATAGTGGATTACCTGAAGAAACTGGACTGGAACGTAGAACTAGACCTTTTTACGCAGAAAGTGCCAATTAAGAGTGCCGTAACCTTCCAAAATATTGTGGCGCGTCAAAATCCTCGGGCCCAAAGATACCTAATGTTTGGCTGCCACTATGACAGCAAGTATTTCAAGGATTTCGATTTTATGGCCGCCACGGATTCGGCAGTTCCCTGTGCACTGTTGTTAAATATGGCTACAATTTTGAGAAACCAGTTTCATCGCTCTGATATCAGTTTGATGCTGGTCTTCTTCGACGGCGAGGAGGCATTCGGGGAATGGTCGGCGGAGGATTCACTGTATGGCTCCAGACATTTGGCGGAGCTGTGGGAGAAGCACGGCTTACTGGATAAGATAGACCTCTTCGTGCTGCTGGATCTAATTGGAGCTAGGGATGTAGTCTTTAAGAAAAACATTCCAAATACTTCAGGCTGGTTTCACCGACTTGTCCAGCTGGAGAAGATGTTATTCCAGGCGGGCATCCTGCGACTAGAACGTCCACTATTCAAGTTTGAGCCCAGCACAGATGTAGATGATGACCACCTGCCTTTCACCCGCCGCAACGTTCCGGTAATCCATCTAATATCTAATAAATATCCAGCAGTTTGGCATCTAGCCGAAGACGTGGAGAAGAACGTGGACTACAATACTACGGAGCAAGTGGGTCTTGTGCTGCGAATGTTTGTAATGGAATACCTCAATTCGGCTCCAAATACCGTTTACCAGTTATAATAAATCTGCCTTTAGACACCTACAAAAAAATTAAAAAAAAATAAATTTCTAAATTTGACTGCAAATATTTAGAGCATTGTGCCAGAAACATTTAGAGGTATGCCACTTTAAAATCCGATTAAGATAAGTTGAGTTATAGAGTTTAGAACTTCAGTCTTTGGACATTTTTGAATTTCTACAACATCATAACATCAGAAAAATGACAAAAAATATAAAAAAAATTTAATTTCTAAATTTGAATGCAGATCTTTAGAGAATCGCTCCAGAAACATTAAGAGGTATGCCACTTCAAAATCCGATTAAGATAAGTTGAGTTATGGACTTTAGAACTTCAGTCTTTGGACATTTTTGAATTTCTACAACATCATAACATCAGAAAAATGACAAAAAATATAAAAAAAATTTAATTTCTAAATTTGAATGCAGATATTTAGAGAATTGCGCCAGAAACATTTAGAGGTATGCCACTTGAAAATCCGATTAAGATAAGTTGAGTTATAGAGTTTAGAACTTCAGCAATAGGACATTTCTTAATTCTTTTGAACTTCTACATCATCACACCAAAAAATTTACAAAAAAATTAAAAAAAAAATAAATTTCTAAATTTGAATGCAGATATTTAGAGAATTGCGCCAGAAACATTTAGAGGTATGCCACTTGAAAATCCGATTAAGATAAGTTGAGTTATAGAGTTTAGAACTTCAGCAATAGGACATTTCTTAATTCTTTTGAACTTCTACATCATCACACCAAAAAATTTACAAAAAAATTAAAATAAAAAAATTTTTTTAATTTGAATGCAGATATTTAGAGAATTGCGTCAGAAAGATTTAAAGGTATGCCACTTCAAAATCCGATTAAGATAAGTTGAGTTATAGAGTTTAGAACTTCAGCTTTAGGACATTTCTTAATTTTTATGAACTTCTACATCATCACACCAAAAAATTTACAAAAAAAATTTAAAAAAAAAAATTTTTTTTAATTTGAATGCAGATATTTAGAGAATTGCGCCAGAAAGATTTAAAGGTATGCCACTTCAAAATCCGATTAAGATAAGTTGAGTTATAGAGTTTAGAACTTCAGCTTTAGAACATTTCTTAATTTTTATGAACTTCTACATCATCACACCAAAAAATTTAAAAAAAAATTAAAAAAAAATTTTTTTTAATTTGAATGCAGATATTTAGAGAATTGCGCCAGAAAGATTTAAAGGTATGCCACTTCAAAATCCGATTAAGATAAGTTGAGTTATAGAGTTTAGAACTTCAGCAATAGGACATTTCTTAATTCTTTTGAATTTCTTCATCAAAAAATTTACAAAAAAATTGAAAAAAAATTTAAATTTCTAAATTTGAATGCAGATCTTTAGAGAATTGCTCCAGAAACATTTAGAGGTATGCCACTTGAAAATCCGATTAAGATAAGTTGAGTTATAGAGTTTAGAACTTCAGCAATAGGACATTTCTTAATTCTTTTGAACTTCTACATCATCACACCAAAAAATTTACAAAAAAATTAAAAAAAAATAAATTTCTAAATTTGAATGCAGATATTTAGAGAATTGCGCCAGAAACATTTAGAGGTATGCCACTTGAAAATCCGATTAAGATAAGTTGAGTTATAGAGTTTAGAACTTCAGCAATAGGACATTTCTTAATTCTTTTGAACTTCTACATCATCACACCAAAAAATTTAAAAAAAAATTAAAAAAAAAAATTTTTTTTAATTTGAATGCAGATATTTAGAGAATTGCGCCAGAAAGATTTAAAGGTATGCCACTTCAAAATCCGATTAAGATAAGTTGAGTTATAGAGTTTAGAACTTCAGCAATAGGACATTTCTTAATTCTTTTGAATTTCTTCATCAAAAAATTTACAAAAAAATTGAAAAAAAATTTAAATTTCTAAATTTGAATGCAGATCTTTAGAGAATTGCTCCAGAAACATTTAGAGGTATGCCACTTGAAAATCCGATTAAGATAAGTTGAGTTATAGAGTTTAGAACTTCAGCAATAGGACATTTCTTAATTCTTTTGAACTTCTACATCATCACACCAAAAAATTTACAAAAAAATTAAAAAAAAATAAATTTCTAAATTTGAATGCAGATATTTAGAGAATTGCGCCAGAAACATTTAGAGGTATGCCACTTGAAAATCCGATTAAGATAAGTTGAGTTATAGAGTTTAGAACTTCAGCAATAGGACATTTCTTAATTCTTTTGAACTTCTACATCATCACACCAAAAAATTTACAAAAAAATTAAAAAAAAAAAAATTTTTTTAATTTGAATGCAGATATTTAGAGAATTGCGTCAGAAAGATTTAAAGGTATGCCACTTCAAAATCCGATTAAGATAAGTTGAGTTATAGAGTTTAGAACTTCAGCTTTAGGACATTTCTTAATTTTTATGAACTTCTACATCATCACACCAAAAAATTTACAAAAAAAATTAAAAAAAAAAATTTTTTTTAATTTGAATGCAGATATTTAGAGAATTGCGCCAGAAAGATTTAAAGGTATGCCACTTCAAAATCCGATTAAGATAAGTTGAGTTATAGAGTTTAGAACTTCAGCTTTAGGACATTTCTTAATTTTTATGAACTTCTACATCATCACACCAAAAAATTTACAAAAAAAAATTTAAAAAAAAATTTTTTTTTAATTTGAATGCAGATTTTTAGAGAATTGCGCCAGAAAGATTTAAAGGTATGCCACTTAAAAATCCGATTAAGATAAGTTGAGTTATAGAGTTTAGAACTTCAGCAATAGGACATTTCTTAATTCTTTTGAATTTCTTCATCAAAAAATTTACAAAAAAAATGAAAAAAAATAAATTTCTAAATTTGAATGCAAATATTTAGAGAATTGCGCCAGAAACATTTAGAGGTATGCCACTTGAAAATCCGATTAAGATAAGTTGAGTTATAGAGTTTAGAACTTCAGCTTTAGGACATTTCTTAATTTTTATGAACTTCTACATCATCACACCAAAAAATTTACAAAAAAATTAAAAAAAAAAATTTTTTTTAATTTGAATGCAGATATTTAGAGAATTGCGCCAGAAAGATTTAAAGGCATGCCACTTAAAAATCCGATTAAGATAAGTTGAGTTATAGAGTTTAGAACTTCAGCAATAGGACATTTCTTAATTCTTTTGAATTTCTACATCATCACACCAATAAATTTACAAAAAAAATTAAAAAAAAAAATTTTTTTTAATTTGAATGCAGATATTTAGAGAATTGCGCCAGAAAGATTTAAAGGTATGCCACTTAAAAATCCGATTAAGATAAGTTGAGTTATAGAGTTTAGAACTTCAGCAATAGGACATTTCTTAATTCTTTTGAATTTCTACATCATCACACCAAAAAATTTACAAAAAAAATTAAAAAAAAAAATTTTTTTTAATTTGAATGCAGATATTTAGAGATTTGCGCCAGAAAGATTTAAAGGTATGCCACTTCAAAATCCGATTAAGATAAGTTGAGTTATAGAGTTTAGAACTTCAGCTTTAGGACATTTCTTAATTTTTATGAACTTCTACATCATCACACCAAAAAATTTACAAAAAAAATTAAAAAAAAAAATTTAAAAAAAAATTTTTTTTAATTTGAATGCAGATATTTAGAGAATTGCGCCAGAAAGATTTAAAGGTATGCCACTTCAAAATCCGATTAAGATAAGTTGAGTTATAGAGTTTAGAACTTCAGCAATAGGACATTTCTTAATTCTTTTGAATTTCTTCATCAAAAAATTTACAAAAAAATTGAAAAAAAATAAATTTCTAAATTTGAATGCAAATATTTAGAGAATTGCGCCAGAAACATTTAGAGGTATGCCACTTGAAAATCCGATTAAGATAAGTTGAGTTATAGAGTTTAGAACTTCAGCTTTAGGACATTTCTTAATTTTTATGAACTTCTACATCATCACACCAAAAAATTTACAAAAAAATTAAAAAAAAAAATTTTTTTTTAATTTGAATGCAGATATTTAGAGAATTGCGCCAGAAAGATTTAAAGGTATGCCACTTAAAAATCCGATTAAGATAAGTTGAGTTATAGAGTTTAGAACTTCAGCAATAGGACATTTCTTAATTCTTTTGAATTTCTACATCATCCCACCAAAAAATGTACAAAAAAATTAAAAAAAAAATTTTTTTTTAATTTGAATGCAGATATTTAGAGAATTGCGCCAGAAAGATTTAAAGGTATGCCACTTAAAAATCCGATTAAGATAAGTTGAGTTATAGAGTTTAGAACTTCAGCAATAGGACATTTCTTAATTCTTTTGAATTTCTTCATCAAAAAATATACAAAAAAAATTAAAAAAAATAAATTTCTAAATTTGAATGCAAATATTTAGAGAATTGCGCCAGAAACATTTAGAGGTATGCCACTTGAAAATCCGATTAAGATAAGTTGAGTTATAGAGTTAGAACTTCGGCAATAGGACATTTCTTAATTTTTATGAACTTCTACATCATCACACCAAAAAATTTACAAAAAAATTAAAAAAAAAATTTTTTTTTAATTTGAATGCAGATATTTAGAGAGTTGCGCCAGAAAGATTTAAAGGTATGCCACTTAAAAATCCGATTAAGATAAGTTGAGTTATAGAGTTAGAACTTCGGCAATAGGACATTTCTTAATTTTTATGAACTTCTACATCATCACACCAAAAAATTTACAAAAAAATTAAAAAAAAAATTTTTTTTTAATTTGAATGCAGATATTTAGAGAGTTGCGCCAGAAAGATTTAAAGGTATGCCACTTAAAAATCCGATTAAGATAAGTTGAGTTATAGAGTTTAGAACTTCAGCTTTAGGACATTTCTTAATTTTTATGAACTTCTACATCATCACACCAAAAAATTTACAAAAAAATTAAAAAAAAAAATTTTTTTTAATTTGAATGCAGATATTTAGAGAATTGCGCCAGAAAAATTTAAAGGTATGCCACTTGAAAATCCGATTAAGATAAGTTGAGTTATAGAGTTTAGAACTTCAGCCTTAGGACATCTCTTAATTCTTTTGAATTTCTACATCATCACATCAAAAAATGTACAAAAAAAATTAAAAATAGGCAAATTATAAATTTAAATGCAGATATTTAGAGAATTGCGCCAGAAACATTTAGAGGTATGCCACATAAAAAACCGATTAAGATAAGTTGAGTTATAGAGTTTAGAACTTCAGCCTTAGGACATTTCTTAATTCTTTTGAATTTCTACATCATCACATCAAAAAATGTAAAAAAAATAAATTTGAATGCAGACATTTAGAGAATTGCTCCAGAAACATTAACAGGTATGCCACAAAATTTTGAAATTTCTCGTTAGCACTTCCACTAATTGAGTAACGGGTATCTGATAGTCGGGGAACTCGACTATAGAATTTTATATTGTTTTTTTTTACATTGTTACAGAGGTGCCGTGCCAAGCTTGAAAATACAAAAAGGGAAAATCAAATGAAGGGAAATGAAGTGCTTTGCGATCGTTTCTTTATTAATAACCACAATTCTGACTTGTGGGCTCAACCGCAGACTGCTGTGTGTTACTTTTCGCCTCTGCTAGCAACCGAATCGTATCAAATTTCCATCCATCCGCCACCGTTTTTCCGCTCCCCAGTCGGCCAAAAGCCATCAGCCATCGGGCCACGGGCAACACTCGAAATTTATGTACGCTGCTCCCAGCTCGCTGAAAGCAACACGAAAGTTAATTAAACTTGAAAATAATAAAAGCAAAGCGGAGCGGAGCAGAACAGCACAGAAGCAGCACCAGAAGCTTCCAGGAGAAGGATGTGGATGTGGATGTGGATGTGGATGTAGATGTGTATGTGGATGTGGATGCAGATGTGGCTGTGGCGAATAATGAAACACAAAAAGTGTACATCACAGCCAGCGGGCACCGCACCGAATGGCGGACACGGGGCCCAGAAATCGGCTGGGGACTGTGCATATATATCCGCAGATCCGCAGATATATGTAGATGAACTGGCGAAGGCACGGAGGTCGCTCGGTGGTCATCATTAGCATATCGCCGACAGCGGCGCGAAAAAGGGTTCCCATTTGAAAAGTTAATCGCCAGCTGATGCTGCACTGCGATTCCGAGTGCTGAAGAACCAGTGGAGTGTGGCAGGGGGTGAGTGGGGATGGGAAAGGGGAAAAGGGAAAAGGGGTGACGATGACTGCGTTGACACTGACAGCCACCCGAAAAAACCCCCAATCCCAGAACGACCCACCGAAGGCCATATCCCTGTCGTCGGACCTTATCTGCGGACTGCAATAAAAACGGACAATAATTAAAACTGGCAAATAGAACTGGCACACTGCGTCTGTGGGGCTGCACACTTCCAAAAAAAGGGGTTTTCAGAAATGTCCATTTAATTGCAAAGTCCCCATAAAATTAAATGGATATTTTCTGAAAATAAGCCGGTTCTTTAGTTACTTTTGATTGCCTTTAAATACAATTTTAAAACTGGATCCCCATACAACATAATATACTATCTTAACTATTCATTATTCGCAGTGCCCAACTTCAGCCCACTTTGGTATATTCAGTTCTTCGTCATAAATCAGTTATGCAAAGATAAGTACATTTTTATTACATTGTTTTAATTACCCGAAAAAATTCGGAATACTTTTGCAGTGCATTCAGAATTGATTAAGCCCCAAGGGAAATTGTTCTTTTGACTAAATACTGATAGCATGATATTTCAAAGGAGGAGCCTTTGAGCCTTTTGAGGATTTCTTTTCCAATATTTTTGCAAGATTATGTCTTTCACTCATTTCCTTTTCTTTTCCCCTAACTAAAACAAGAAGATTCCCGTATTACCACGAAAATCTTGCCCAACATTCATTAACAGTCTGCAGTCATTCGCCTAACCCTTTTCTGCTTAATCAACAAAAAATTGTGTACTTACAAATACATATAATTCGTACACTGCGTGCCAAAAGTATAGGGGTATACCAATTATTTCATGAACATTTTTTCTTTTGGACTCAAATTAATACTTACGTTTCCGATATGTTGTTTCTTTTGGTTTACTTTTATGTATAGGCTAGCATACAGTTATGGTGCGCGCTGTACATGAAAAAACTTATCACATTTTCCGGTTTGCTCGCTGTTTGAATTACTGCAGGTCTGCCTTTTGCTGGCCTGCTGTTTTTCTTTATTTTTTCCAAACAAATAACCGTAAAAATCTTTGCCATCCACATCAGTCGTAAAAAGGGGATTTCATTTTAATTACATACGAATTTCTTGTTTTTTTCTTTCGGCTCACAGATTCAGATTCGGATTCAAATTCAGATTCAGATTCAGCTCTTGCTTTTTGGGTTTTGGGTTTTTGTGTGTGCTCGGTGGGTGAATGGGTGCGAATGCATCGGGTGCGGATGATGATGACGATGATATAGAGAGTGCCTAACCCCCGAGCTTCTTTGTGAAACGCTTTCCGCCGTGCCGTGTGTTGACTTTTATAATTAAGCCCTTTGTGTACATTTCCAGTTGACGGCATCCCGGTGGTTGGGGAGCATCCACCCCTGACTGTTCACCTGGTTGCAGGGGATGGGAAGGGGAAGGGGAAGGAGGAGCATCATAGCATCATAAAAAGGATTAATTGTGCGCAATTAAAGAAAATATATTACCAAGTTTCGGGGCCAAGTTTCGTAACGCTTTCGTTATATTTTTCTGTTGTGTTGTGTTTCTAGGGTTTTTGTGTATCCTCATCGGATTCGAAAAGTTTGCCACCATTTGAATTATGCAAAATCATTTAAATGCGTCGCCTCAAAAAGTTTTGCCAACATTTCTCCGCCGACTTAACCACTTTGGCATGTGTCCCGGACTCTTATTGTTATTGTTGTTTGCCGGGGGCTTAAGTTCATAATGTTCATGGAGAGCGTTACGCCTTCCTTGCGAAGGAAGGAAAAAAAGGGCTCAAGTGGGTGGTATCCCTATCACAATTGCCAGGACAATGTAAGGAGGCGGCATCCCCTTCCGCAACTTTCCATTCCTTGCCTTTCCACATGCGTTCCCGGGTTAATTGCTCAAGTTCAAAATTAAAATATTTATTACAATGAAAAACTTTGGCACTTTCGCGTCGCCAACGTGACGAACAAAAGGCAGCTTACGAATAAGTAGTCTTTCCCCCCATGGGAGTTGTTTAATTTGTTTTCCGCTTAGTGATGTTTGCCCGAGTGTGTGAGTGTGTTTGACGAGTGAGACGAGTGTAGGCTCTGTTGAAAGGTGCAATGGAGACAATGGGACTTGTCATAAATTAAATAATACTACGGGAGTGCAGAAGAGCTGCTTTCTAATTGACGCACAACGCAAACTGTACTGCCATTGTTATCAGCTTGTCATTGGATTGGTCTGGGTCAATATTTTGATGCTGGAAAGTACATAAGTTAGGTACTGTCAGTATCTCGAAGAGAGATTACTCAATAGATACTCTGGAATTTATGATTGGCAGCTGTCTTTAATGTGGTCTTTAAGTACCACAAAAGTAGGTTAATTTTTAATCAATTAATTGAAATATTTTTCTCAACATTGCTTTTCACCAGCCACGATTTCTGGTTTTCCAACCCCAAAGTACTTTTCTTCTGTGATTCGTTTAGCAGCTAGCAAAATACTCTGTTTGCCTTTTGATTGATTTTATTGTTTGCAATGCGATTACTCGAGACCAGACCTTCGGGCTGCCGAGATCCCGCCATTTGATAAGCTCTATTCCCAACCTCTGGTGTCTGGCCATTAGAACAGGTGTTGCCTGTGGCTCCACTTCCCTTCAATCTGCCGTGAAGATATCGCAAGGGGAATGGACCGCAACATGTTAGCCAACGCTTTAAAAATGTAACATGCGGTGCTTTTTCATCAGCCTTTGGCTAGCATTTCCTCCGTTTTCCCCACACCCACCACCAACTTCTCGGCCTCGTCTCGATTATCATTTGAGTGTATTGAAAATTTGAAACGCATGAATAGTCAGGCTAGATCGTCCTGCGGCTATATACAAAGAGATACGTACATATGTGCGGACGGACGGCCACCGAGGCATTCCAAGGGTTATCTCAGCACTTCAGTTGGATTTTTCCGGGGTATTGGGCGGATATGGCGGATATGGCCAAACACATCCGTTGGCAGATGTTTTTCACATGGCCCATGGCGCACTCGCCAGCACAGGAACACATTTGGCAATACCCTTTTTGTTACAAGGATTAGTAGTATTTGGGGTGCGCATGAAAAAGAAACTTGAGAAATGAACTAATATTTGCGCTCATAGCTGCACTTATAAAATACTTTCTACTCTAAACTTCCGAACATATAAGAATATATGCTATAAATATTATCCGCCTTATTGTATTACAGGGTATGTCAGCACTGGGTACCGCCAGAACACCGCATTGCACCCATTAAACTTGAACGGTGCCCAGAATGAGCAAGTGTAGCGGAAATGATTTGGTAGCTCCAGTCCCTAGACACCCCGATCCACTCCAAGCTCTTTGGTCCCTGGTGGAGCAAATTTTCAGCTCCACTCACGATTTGTCGGTGATTGAAATTTGTTTTCCTTGTGTGGGTGCTATAAATTGAAGTTTTCTATTATTTTTATCGGCTTGGCAACAGGCTGTACGACTTTTCGTGTAGTTACGATGCAACGCCATATGATTGGCCCTTATTCAAATATTCAAAGAAAGTGCGGCGAGAAACATGTGTATATATAAACACATTATTTACTTTGATGCATTTTTCATTGTGTTAAGAATGGAATGAAGAGACGGAAAAGCGCTAGAAGTGGAAATGCATTATCTTTTTTCTTCCACGAGAGCTGCTAATGCCGATTAAAGATACCTCGAAGCCGTGGTCCGCCATGTATAAAGTCTATTTTTGGGCCAAATTATCTGAACTACTTGGTTTAAGCTGGGATCTGGCGGTATGACAATCTGTTTGCCAGCTCTGTAGGGGATGCTGAGGGCCCAATTCATTTCCAGCAGTACTTTTTGCACTCAACGTGATTATCATCATCCTACTTGCTCGTTCGTCATTATCGAGCCGGAGAACTTCAGCTGTCATTACTTTTTATGGCCCAGCAACATGATGCACTTGCTCGGCCCCATGTGGTTGAGCTGGGTCTGCAGGAGATGCGTGGAGAAGGGTGGTTTGGGGAAACGATGGGCCGGTGTAGGTGGGGTGGTGGGTGGTGGTTTGTTTGCGTTGCCGAGGCTGACTGGCAGTTAAAATATAATTTCAGGAAAGAAATCATCATAGAGCCCGAGCAGAAGCCCCAGCGTCAAGAGGCAGTAAAAGTAAAACATCAAAGTGAAATCCAGGATGGGGCCGGAGGGGGTGGGGTTGGGTTTGGGGCGGGGGGCGTTGCAGGGAGGCAGCTCCGTTTGTCACCGCTAGGGGCCGCCACGGGCGGTGGTGGTGGTCGGTGCAGGCTGCTGTCAAGAGTGAATTGTGAAAGAACGCATTTATCCCAGGACCTCTTCCATCCACATGCGTCTGCAACACGCCCATGCCACACTGCCCCCTTTCTGCAGCCGCCCCTTCTGCTATGTTTCATTTTTCACTTATCTGCATGTGAATGAATGCCCTACAGAGAACGAAAATGTGCTAGCCCAAGAGCTTGAATGATCAAATTAGGCTTAAAACAAAATAGTGCCCTTTTCCTTTTAGCTATCCTATATGTCATTATAATCTATTGCTGGCCAAAAAACATCCAACTTTCTTTTACAAAGTTGGGTTGCGCACTTTTTGAATACATTTTTTTGGTGTACCAGAAATGGCTGGCATCCAATTTCACCTACCCTCGCTTTGAGCTGAAAATTGTCAGCCGTTTGATTGTGTAATTGATTTAGCGAGAAAACTCGCTCAGAGATAGACTCTAACTCCCCTCAGATACCCTTCACTCCGTCCCTTTGCAACCGTCAATCCGTTTAAAGTCGTTGGCTAATTAAGTTGCGTTCCAAAATGGCAGCAAAGTGGAAAATGAAGGAGGATGGCTGGAAAAATGCGACGGACTCGCAATTTTTTCTCTACTCGTTCTGGTCATAAATGAGACTTACCATTTTACACCCCAAACACAGCACCACCCACCAAGCCACCCAGCCACCAATCAACAAACCACCCACCACCACCCACCGAATGTAAGCGGTTTCAATTTCCAGTTGGTGTCGAGAACCAAAAGTTTACGATCGCTGCTGGGGCTTTTTATTTTGGTCTTAATTTTTATAAATTTGTATATTCTACCTAAGGGTATTCCACTTTTCGCATGGGTATAAACTCAAAAACAAATTTAGGATTTTTTAAATAGCTTAAAAAATGTGGTAACCTTTTGAGTTATACACAAATACTTAAGCAAAAGTGACCACTTAAAAGGGTATTTGATAATCGTCTTACTCCAACTTATTTGACTGCCACTGTTCGGTGGCACATTAACTTTAATGTCGTCGAAAGGCATTTAAAATAAATTTGGAGGGAAAAATAAAATATAATTCTGTCGAGCGGTCGTTAAAAAATAGACACCAGCCGTGTTTACCTATAAAAATATTAAATACATATAGCGTGGTAAATGTTTCAATATCTCGCGAGGCAAAAGGGGCATTTCTGCGGGAGTTTTGCCATTTAAACACGCAAGTTTTTATTACCAAGACAATGAATCGACAGAGTGGGCTCAAAAAAGCCGCACAGTGAGGTGGAAAAGTCTGTGCCGCATAAAAACGGCATTAAATTCAAAACGCACCGCAAAATGGGGAACCTGTGCGAAAAAGCCGTAAACAATATTCCTAATCGTTTGCGCCATGGATGCAGATGGTTCAGATTAAAAATATGGCAATTTTCTTCACCCAATGAACCCTTAAATATTTCATCAAATTCTGCAATACTAGTTCCTATAAAGATATAAATTACACACTAGTTGGCCTTTTAAATTTTCGCATACGTAACCTAAATATGACTTAAAGTAGAATAAAGTCTGTCTTCCAGTTTCGGAAGCTATGAAACTATGATATTAATTTTCAAAGTTTAAAGACTTTTCGCAGCCTCAGATGCGGTTTGTGCAACCCTCGCACAGAGGGGAAATTAGCTTTTAACGCCCAAAGAGAAAAATCGGTAGCAGAACCGGGCACCGGGCGAGGGGGGAGCGGTGTGACAGCGGCTTATTTGAAACGAATTTTAATTAAAACACAACGGAAAAGTTTCGGCTGGGACAGGAAAACTCGCCTGCTCTCTGGCCGCACATTTAAAGTTAAATCCCAGGACTGTCAGGCACTCTTCTCTTTCAGGACTTCTGGTAGCGGAAGGGGAGATAACTAGGATACAAGGAAGTGCTTGGTATATTTAAGGATACATGCTGGCTAATTACATTCCTTTAATTTATGATGTAAAATGAATTACCTAATAGTTCAGATACTATGCGATGGAGGCACCACCTTCCTCATCCAATCGCTGCAGATTATCGATGCGTTGCAGGATCGACGGACGAAGGCGATGCCACATGAGGTAGCAGCGGTCCACATAGGGAAACTCGTAGTCATCCGCAAAAAGTTTGAGCAGGGCGGCCCTCATCGCTGGTCCGTAACCCCGGCGATTGATATAGGCATCCGCGGCGTTTTCAAAGTGCCGTATAAAGAAGAACGCTATCCAAGTCCAAATGTCGTGATATATGGGCATTACGTACTTGTACACCAGCCAGAAGTCCACGGAAATGGGATAGAATGTCGTAAAGCCCGCCGCCTCGTACAGCATTATCCATCTATTACAGATCCCAAAAAGCAGTAGGTATATCAAGAGGTGAAAGTATATCAGTGCCAGTCCCTTTGCCACATGCCACAGACGCCAGTGGGCCAGTTGATGGGCCACAAAGGCCGCCAGCTGCTCGTCATTCAGACCAGCACCCATCTGGCCCCAGTCGAAGTCATCGGACCTAAAGCCGCGATTCATCTTCAGGTTATCGTGGATATCCAAACGCAGGCAACAGCAGCATCCCATTACCCAGGCAGTGGGACGACCCACGTGGAAGGTGTGAACCATGTAGACTCGGCCCGGAAACTTGAAGTCCTTCACTACCGCTTTCAGGCTATCGTCCATATCGGTGTTATTCATTTTGTGACTCTTGCCCAAACAGGGCACTCCAAACAGTCCAATAAATCCCAGTATCAGTGCGGACAAGCCCACCAGAATTGGCCAAACGAAGAGTGTGAAATACCATTCGGTTAGCTCATGAATAACCATGAAGATCGCAGTCAGCGGAATGACTGCAACCTGGGGAGGTTTGAAAAGTAGTACAATATAACTATGTATGGAACACTATATAATAACTTGCCTGTAGGAACACCACGACAAAAACCAGGGCACAAATCAAGCCCAGCAAGGGCGGCGTCTTTTCAGGATCCACATTGTATCTCGGATCCAGGGTCAGTTTCTCGTAAAATAGTGAGGGCAACTTCCGCACTACCAAGTACGTAGAGAGTAGAGTCATAAATGTCACATTCAGCCAAGTGCTATCCGCATAGCGATACCATCCTACCGTGAGTTTCCACAGATACGGCAGAGTGCAAAGATACATATCAAGGCAGCTATACAATGTATCTAATGCTATATTGAAAATCTCCAGATATGAGGCATGGAGTTGCTTATCCTTGGATGCCTGCAACATCACTCAACTGTCGTTCAATTATGGTTTTGTATATGAATATACAAGCTAATCTAAGAAGAACCCACCTTGAAGGCTTCTTGCGACATCGCGCCCTCCATTTGCTTCGGTGGCACGGAAGTGCTTTTACACAATCGCAACTGCCTGCAGCACAGAATAAGGTGGAAGCTATTGTGCACCACTATCATCAGGCAGAGGATGTGCCGCAGAAGAATCGGATCCGAGAGACTAATTTTCCGGGGCACCACACTGCCGCCAATCTGCTTTTCCGATATTTTGAGGCGCTCGCCGCGCAATGGATCTTGATACAGTGCGAATGTGTTCATATTTCCAAAACAACATAAATAAATGAATCAGCAACTGAATGAAATCTAAAGGACAACTGAGCAAGCAGTACTTCATTGCGAATTATTCCAGAAAGTATGCAATATATTTTTAGAGAGTCGTCGTAATTTTTCCAATATGTCAAATTGCTGTGCAAATCGCGCTTTTATGTGGTTGCCAGCGCTAACCAAAACCCAAATATGTCGCCCTCACATCGTCATCATAATCCTGATTTCGTTAGGGAACCCGGATTACCATGCTGTCGAAAGCCGTTGACTAGTGGAAGCCAAAGATTATAATGGCGCCAAGGAAATTACAGATGCGTACCCGGGAAAAGCAGGCGTGTGTGTGGGTTTACTGTGGATGTAATGGTTCTTTGTAGTTTGTTTCGAGGATTTGAACTTCTTACGCTTGGCATATCAATAATGAGTCGAGGGCTTGGCGGGATTCTAGGGGGAATTGTGTTGCCAAGCTGGCTGCTTTGATGGTTTCGGTTCAACGCCATTACTTAACCCCCTCCCAGCCGCCCACATATCCCCTTACTTACTCACACACACACACACCCATGTGCGCACGCACACACATATGCGCGAACATTCACTTGGCATCTCTAATTAGTAGAATTTAATCTTCACACTATGGCAACGTCAAACGTCCCGAACTGCGACCCCCCTAAGCCACCCACAAGCCATCCTGTATTCCGCCCATTGCGCTGCTCATTATGAAAAATTTCAAATTAAAAAGACGAGGGGAGTGGAAACTGCACTAAGAAAAATAGAATAGGCGCATACTGAAATTTAATCTTTGCTATGTTACAAGGAAAATGTACTTTCAAGATACATATTTATAAGAAATATACAAACTATATAATATATAATAATATAAATATAAGATAAATTACATAAATATGTAGGGATCCTGTTGGAACTAAAAACTGAACTATCTATTCAATCAAGATATCAACATTATACCAACAAGTATTTTTTGTCAAGAAATACTTTCTTATATTACATTAATATAAGGAAATATTTCATTATTTTATGATGCTATAGAACGTGATTCTGAAATATCCATAAAAATAGTTATAGCTCAACTTCTCCTGGTTTTTCGCCGTGTGGAGCACAGTAAAAGTTTATTGTAAGAAGTAACGGTAGGATTTGCATAAATACCAGGACATGTTTGGGCGTGTGTGTGTGTTAGTATCACACATCATGATTACATAATTTAGCTATTAAAACAGCGCCAAGTGGCTGGCTGAACGGAGTGGCAGGGAGAGAGGAGACCGAATACCGAAGAGCGAGGCAGGAGGCAGGAGGCAGTGGCAAAGAAGGCGCTTATTTATGCCTCAACACGCCGTTTGGCGCAGCTTCAAAGGATCCGAAACGGGAGCGGGTGCTCCAAGGGGGTGAGGGGGAGAGGGTACAGGTTTCTGGCGGCAAGGGGCTAGTGGCTAAGAGGGGTATTCCAGTTCAACGGCACACATGTGCACTTGATTTACTCATTAGCGTTACTTTTCTGTTCATAATAGGGCGCTTACCAAGCCGGAAACCACAGCCACCCCCGCACCACCAGCCCCATTTACCAAAGGACCCCCCACCCCCCTCTCCACCACGCCACTGACTGCCACATTTGGTTTCATTTCGAACCGTTCGGGATGCGTTGGTATAAGCCGCTTAGGCGTATCCTTTGTGCATGTGTAATTGTGCTGGCCCTCACACACTCCCCTCCCCTCCCCTACTTTTCGGCTTACCCACCCCTTTCCCTTCTCTCACACACACACACGCAACTAAGCCCTAATAATCCCCACTATTTGGCCAAAAGATGGAGGGAAAAAAGGTAAGACACTGCGGCAAAATTCGACTTCAAACATATGTCTCTAATAACTGCGATTGGTTGCATTTCTATTAGAAATGATTTAAATAATTTAATTAGCTGTTCAATATACAAAATGTTATTTTTTTAATAGCAGGTACACATTGAAGACCAAAAATGTATTTTTCTTTTGCATGCTGTACACATTTTACTTTGGAATATTTTTTCCAGTGAGCTGCGTTAGCAAGTAGCTACTCAATTCGCTGTGCCCATTTTTGATTCCCGTTCCATACATGGGAAAAGTCAAAATTGAACATTTCACATTTGCCCAAGGCCAAAAATGTGCTAAGGGTTTTCTTTCTGCAGATAGTCCTTGTGAATAGTTATCCTGCAAGCAGGGTTTCCTGGAAGAAGCTCTTTGATTTCATCTAAAAAAGGGGTAGATAAATAAGGAATAACTTTAAATGGAGTTGAGCCATAACAAATTGCAGAATGCTCAGGAGTTATCTCGATGTCTTGTACTACCCATATCAAATGGAAATGGTCTTAATAAGTCTCGAAGGAGAAATACTACTTTTTCTCCTTCGAAATATAGGTTTACCTTATATAACTTTTCGATGGAATGAGTATTTAAGGTACGGGCTCTAAGGATTTATTGGCCTACAATTAAAAGATGTGTACCATGTTTTCAAGAACATGAAAACACGGACTTTAAGGATTACTCCTAACTTCTTACCCCTCGAATCCTCAAAACACGAACCGATTTAGTTGAATTATAGCTGAGGTAATCCTTAGCCTTATAATTATGTGGTTTTGACTCCAGACAGAGGTTGAATCATTTACCTGAGTCTTTGATATATTTCCTCAGCTCCTTGGGCCTTCCACTCCCTCCAACTCCGAGTGGTTTGATATATGTATGCCCTGCTACCTCAATTATCTGGTGCAATTGTGTAAGAGATAATCCGAAACTAATTCGGATTGGTTGCGGTCAAGTTGTGTGCCGTCATCTTTGGCAATCGATAGGCCACTGAGTTGGAGAGCACTTGAATCTGGGGATTTGTTTTCGTTGGCCATCTATTATGCGCGATAAGATCGCAACGTGAATAGAAGTTTCCGTTCCGTGATAAGGGGATTTTAAATTAATAATTCACTCTTGCTGCACGAACATGAAAAACGTCGGAAAATTGCTCAATTTTCCATGCGCACAAGGTAAAACGGTGGAAAGACCAAAAGAAACGAAACAACAACAAAAAATGAAAGAGAAATTTATGCTAATTTTCGACAACTATCACTGCCCACCATCGGTGGGGACGCGGATGGGGGCTGTGGATTTCGTCGGCGAGGGGGAGTGGGAGAGGGAACCCACCCGAAAAAGCAGACCCACCAAACCTGATGGTCATGTAATGTCGACGGAGGCAGCGTAACGAAGTAACCTAATTAATTTGTGGCACTCATTAGCAACAATTGAAAATGCCACAGCTGAGGCAGAAGCAGCTCCTCCAACCATTTGCCCCCCAGCCTCTTTTTATGCCCAACCCCCCGTCACTCGTCAACTCAACCAGAAGTTGAAAATGCCCATAATGAGTGTGGGGTACGACTAACGCCCCTGCCCCGCCCCCAGTTACTCCAGTTCTCCCCATTTCTTCTATCGAAAAAAGAAATTATGGCGGGGTAAAAGTGCCTAAGCCTATTCCATTTGACGACATTCTGATACTCTAATTCAAGCAGGAAACAAATTCAAATATGAGATACAAATAAATATTTTAATTAATGTCTACACATTTTTAGGGACAATTTCATGTTGAATTATTTAGAACTACGAGTTTCAACGAAAGAGTTTGAATTTAATTGTTAGGCAGCCTTACATAATTATAATTGGTACTCACGATTTCTTAAGCGACATATTTATGTTCTTTATATTGAAATGCATTACACTTTTAAATGTTCAAAGTGTGACGTGATCTCAATTACAATGTGGGCATACGCGATCCCACTGTCTTGAAACCAATTTGAGTTTATGAATATGCTATAAATGTACTTCAAATGCGCAACGTGACCTACCAATTTCCCATACTTTCATACGCATTAAAAGCCCAATAAATTTGTGGGCCTCACGATCTTTAATACAAAGCTATTGTTGAATTCTATACAGTTTTCTATTCCAACAAACTGAAATTTGTATTTTCATTAAACTGCCGTTAGCATGGTTAAAAAATTCCCATCAGTTGTCAATGATTCAATTAGCCAGCCGATAATTTGTTCTCATTGAGAGTGTCACACATTAAGATGTTTCCGCACATTCTTCAGTAGTCCTGGGATACTTCTATACTCCTCCCAATCTATCAAATAAGATTAATGTGCATTTCCATGGATTCCTCGATCATTTACAACGATTCTTTCGTAGACAACTTCATCGAAGTGAGGCGATCGATCATCGATCAAATCTGAAAAGTTGTCTAAGCAGCTTGCTTTCAACTTCCTGAGATCTTTTGGCTAATGATCTTTTTGGGCCAAAAAACAGACAGTACGTTTGAAAGGTTATCACTTCCATTGCCATTGTACCTTTCGAAATAATACCCATTAGAGCCAAATTGAATTGTATTTATTCTGAAGGTAGTTGGCAGATACATGCGTTTCAATTATCAAAAGTATGGCTTCACTTGTAAGCATTCTACTTATTATTAGATTTATTTTTGATTATCAACATGGAATATTGCATAGGTAGAAGGTATATGGGTACATATATACTTTAATTAATTAGGATGAAAAATAGAAATGAAGTTCCTGCCGTTCCTGTCCACTTCTCACGCTGTCAGGAAGAGCAAATGGACCCGGGCTAATGAGCAGGTGTAGGGCATCGAATACCAAAAAATGTTAACTAATTTTCGGCTTTGCTGCGTTGACGTGTGAAGCGCGGGGCAGGGCAAGGCAGGGGGCGGGGTACCGACCACTGGCTATATCACCTGCCGCGGTTAGTTAGCTGGCCAAAAAAAAAAAAAAACAAAGAAAAACCTTGAATTGTGCGTGAGCCGTCCCTATTTGAGGCCCTGTCAGTCGTCACTCAGCGTTTTCAACCTCCCCCATTTTGGGCATGACATTTTTACCAACGGCCGGCGATATGCAAAATCATTTGACCCGGTCCCAGGGCCCAAAACCCCAGACCTCAGACCCCAGACCACAGAGCCGATTGCTATCTGG